AAAAAAAAAAAAAAAAATTGTACATTGAACAAGTGATCTCTTTCGATCCTCACACACCCTTGTAAAGTTGGTCAGTGTTATTATTCCCATTTTTTTATTGTGATAAAATATACGTGACATAAAACGTACCTTTGTCATCATTTTTTAACGTTTATTTACTGGGGTGCCTGGGGGGCTCAGTCGCGTAAGGTCCAACTTCGGCTCGGGTCATGATCTCACAGTTTGTGAGTTTGAGCCCCGTATCAGGCTCTCTGCTGTCAGTGCAGAGCCTGCTTTGGATCCTCTGCCTCTCTCTCTCTGCCCCCCCTGCTCTCTCTCTCTCTCTCTCTCTCTCTCGAAAATAAGAAAATAAACATTATAAAAATGGAAATCTTTATAAAAATAAATAAATAACAGAATACTTATACTTAATACTCAATAGAATAAGTATCCTGTTATTCTATTTTTGAGAGGGAGAGAGGGTGTGCGTGCGAGTGCTCAAGCAGGGGAGGGGCAGAGAGAGAGAGGGAGAGAGAATCACAAGCCAGCTCCCAGCTGGCAGCACGTGCCCAACTCGGCACTCGATCTCACAAACCTGAGAGATCATGACCTGAGCCGAAATCAAGAGTCGGTCGCTCAACCGACTGAGCCACCCAGGCGCTGCCCATTTTAATCATCTTTAAGTGTCACCGTTCCGTGGCATTGAGTACACTCTCTTAAACCACGTTTGCGTTTGTAATGTGTTAAACCACGGTGTTGTGAAGCCGTCACCACCATCTGCGCAACTTTGTTATCTTCCCGAACCGAAACCCTGCATCCCTTACACACTAACTCCCCCTTCCCCCCTCTCCTCAGCTCCCCGGAAGCGACCATTCACTTCCCGTCCCTGTGAATCTGACTGCCATAAGCGTCACCTGTGCGTGGAATCCTCCAGTGTTTGTCCTTTTGCGTCTGTCTGGCTCCTGGCGCTTGGCATCACCTTAGCGTTATTCCTACTCTGCAGACGTGATTATTCCCACTTTATGGAGGCTGAGGTGCAGGGGAGCCTCGGAGAGCACCCAAGAAGCAGACCTGGCTGGGGCGCGGGAGACTGGCTGGCTTTTACAACTCCCCGGAGAAGTCAGCGCCGATCCGTGTGCCTAGGCCTACGAGGCAATTTCCTCTGTGTTGTCTTTCCTTTGGGGATATTTTTACTCCTATTCCCATTTCCCTCTCTTCCCACTCACTGCCTCCTCCTGACATTTCCACCCCAGCTGGTCCCAGTTTTTCTCTCCCCAGAGCAGGCCTTTTCTCAAGTCACACTGGCCCGGTCTGGAGCTGCTCCTGCTGGGGTTTCGACTGAGCTCGATGGGCCCCGCTCGAGTCCCTGTTACCCCCCTCACCCCTCCACCCACCCTGGGGTAGTTATGAGCCTGTTCCCTTCCAAAGCAATTAGTGCGAGGAGGCCAGCCGACTCGGTGCTAATGCCGTTTCATTAAGTGGGAGCAATCCTAATGATAATAAAATGGCACATTTAACATTCAAACATTGAACAGGGTTTCTAAGCGAGTGTGCCTCTCTCTTCCTTTCTGGTATAACAACTCCATCTTCATAAGGACCTGACAATACACCCTAATGAGAGACTGGGGAGCTAAGCGTCTTCGCAGAACCAGAGAGAGGACGAGAACCAGACAAAGAATCCAGGGAGAGAGGGCGCGGTGCCCTGAGAGGATAAAGACCCCAAGGATTCCTGGGATAATGGACTCTGGGGTGCTGAGTTAGACAATTAAAGTCTCTGAGAAATAAGGTCGCATGGAAAATACAGCCCACCGCAGACTTTAGTGCAATGCAGCTTTTTATTTATTTGTTTGCTCAACACATTTTTTCCAACAAACATTTATTGTGCACCCAAGGTGAGCCAGATTTTATGGGAGTTTGTGATGGAGGGTGGCTCCAGCTTTCGGAAAAGGAACTCCAAGGGCAGCAGCGGTCTACACGTCGTTCTGTTTGCCCTCCCCTGGGCAGCGTTAGTCCCATCCACCCCAGGTTTATCAAATGCCTCAGCGAAGAGAATTTCAACAACTGCTTTGGTCCCGTGAGCCACTCCTTACGCGTCCTCCTTATTGAGACAGCCATCTCAAAGGTCCTTGCTACTCTGTGATTGTGGAATATCTGGTTGACCTTCCGGAAGCAAAAAAGTAGTGAGGACTGGAGAGCTGGCCAGGGAGAGAAGGTCGATTCAATCATGCGGCGTTGACAGGGGACTCAAGAGAGGCAGGAGAACACGAGGGCATGTTACAGCCAGAGGGCTTTATTCCCGGCTCCAGTGTACAAAAAGGAGGCGCTGGCCAGGGGTCAGAGGTGGGCTTTGCCCAGGCCGGGGAAGCGGCTCATTCTAAAAGGTGTCAAGTCATACGATGGCGTTAATTTCATGCTTAATTCATACAGGATCTTCCCCACAACAGGGGAGAGCTTGAATCCATGTCCTAGGGAAAGGAGAGGAGGTTGTCAAGCCTCCTCAGAGACAGCGGCTGGGGTCCCTGCATGTCCACTACCCTGTCCCCAAATAAGGCCACCTCTCTTCTTGGTCCGCATCCCAAAACTGGGAGCTGCCTCCCACCAGAGCTATCCTTTCTTCTCTGATTGCACCACCCAGCACCTTTTTACAGTCGAGTCTAGACTTTGGCCGGCCAAGAACGCAGAAAACACCATTTTCTCTGCCCCTGCCCCGCTTGAGCTCTCTCTCTCTCTCTCTCTCTCTCTCTCAAAATAAATAAATAAACATAAAAAAAAAAAGAAAGAAAGAAAGAAAAAGAAAACAACATTCTGCCTGGTACGGAGATAGGTCAGCTTTAAGGCACGTCTTCCCCTGCTCAGGCTCACCAGAGAATCCAGCACCGATGACAACGTTGTCATACTTTGGGTGTCGATCAAGAATGAAGTGCTCATCAGGGGTGTTCTAGAAAGAAACGATCACACCTGTGTCCTCTGAGGATAGAAAGAAGAGGAAGAGCCGCAGGCAAGGGAGGGAGGGGACCAGGCTGGGTTGCTTTCCAGAAAAAATGGGAACGGGGCACAAGGATGTGTTCTGCATGCCAGTGCCCCCTCCGGGTGCGACAGCCTTTCTCATTTGTCCATCTGCCTCTCTTCTCAGACAGAGCTATGAACACAGTAGGTGCTCAGTTAATGCGTGTAAACTAACTTTAGCCAAGATGCCTCAGGCCCTGGTGACATCTGTCTCTTCTCTTCGTCCCTAAGGCCTGTTCAACTAGAACATCTTGCCAAAAAATCTTTTAGAGCTCTTCTGGGAAACATAGCGAGGGGCAGCCAGGCATCAGCCTCGTGTGCTAATGAAAAGGAATATGAATAACCTCTAGCGGGGCTTCTCTGGTAGAGGTGAACCGACCCACGGAAATAAGCTCATTTGTTTCAAGTCACATATCATGTCAGGGGTCAATTAGATGTGAGCCTGAGCAGTGCTGAGTTCTGTCTCCTTCCCCTGTTCTCCGGGGCTGTGAGAGGGGCCTGCCCCACCGCCCACACCCTTACCGTGTACAAGCAGGGCTCCAAAAGGGCAGGCTTGGGCTCTAGGTCAGGTAAGTGATCTCTGACAAAGCGGCCCAGGATCTGGACGTCTTGGATGTCTGAGAATGCTTCCGGGCAGTCCCGCTCCTCAGGATCTACATTGTTGCCGTGGTGATAGCAGACCTAGCTCCCAATCAGAGCGGTGTGAGCTGCGAGGGCCGGCCTTCCTGCACACCCCCAGCCCAGGGGGGCAGGCTCTCACCGAGGGCCCCCATCCATCATCCCAGCCTTCCCCAGTCCTGACCGATGCTGTGTGTGTTGCCACTCGAGGTTGCCTTAGCTGGTCCTTCCCCCTCCAACCCTGTGTTTGCAAAGGAAGGGCTTCCTTTGCCGCCTCAGGACAGCTGGGGGTCTTGTGCTGCAAATAAGGAATGGTGAAGTATTCTTCTCCTGCTCCTTCTGCTCCCCGAAAGGGAGGGGGGTTCTGAGGGATCTGTTGAAAAGGACCTCAGAGCAGCTGGACCAAATCTGCATGGGCCCCTGCCAGCCTTCTCTGGGCCTTTCCGCTCACCTTCATCAGCCCTGGGTATTCTCCGGAGGGCAGCCCGTAGATGTGGTGGGGAGCCGGGCTGAGGCCCAGGCCTAGGAAGCAAGGAAAGGCCTGGGACACACCGTAGCTTCCGGGAACCTTCTCTCGCCAATAACACACATTGATTCGCAGGGTCTTGAAGCAGAGAGAGGAAGTGGGAGATAAAGGGGGAAAGCCATGGGGGCGCCTGGATGGCTCAGTCGGTTAAGGTCCGACTTTCACCTCAGGTCATGATCTCACGATTCATGGGTTCGAGCCCCGCCTCGGGCTTTTGCTGACAGCTTGGCGCCTGCTTCGAATTCAGTGTCTCCTGATTTCTCTGCCCCTCCCCCACGCAAGCTCTCTTTGTCTCTCAAAAATAAATAAGCATTAAAAAAGGGGGGGGGGGAAGCCCTGAAACTCTATAAAAGAACAGTTTCTTCTGGGGTCCTGTAGCTCTTGAATACAAGCTGGGTGCCCCCTCTTAACTCGTCCATCGTTGTTTCACCCAATTCTCACGTCATTGACATGTTCCATTTTTTTTTTTTAATTTATGTATTGATTTTGAAAGAGAGAGAGAGAGAGAGAGAGAGAACCAGTGGGGGTGGGGCAGAGAGAGAGAGAGGGGAACGGAGATTTGAAGCAGGCTCTGTGCTGACAGCAGCGAGCCCGATATGGGGCTCAAAGTCACGAACTGTGAGATCACGACCTGAGCCAAAGTCGGACGCTCAACCAACTGAGCCACCCAGGCTCCCGACATGTTACATTTTGATATGAGGTACAAAGATCTCTGTATCTGTCTCTTCTTCCAGTCTTGTTTTTTTAATATTTATTTACACCCAGCCGTACTTCTCTCTCTCTCTCTCTCTCTCTCTCTCTCTCTCCCGGAGTTAATAATACCTCAGATTTATTGAACGCTTACTACAGGTCAAGCCATTTCCTAAGGGCTTCATATTTCTTACATAATTTAATTCTCCAACAGTCATATCCCCATTTGACAGGTTATAAAACTGAGGCTCATGAGGTATCCTAATTTGCCCAAGGTCATCTGGTAGCAAGTAGCAGATCTAGGACTCAGACCTGAGTCCGTCTGACTCCAAGGTTTCTTCTCTTAAGCACCAATGCTCAGGCTTCCAGCTCCCCTTACCTGCAGAGGCAGCTCTATTCCCAGGGGACGGAGGAGCTGGTTGGTCCAAGGGCCCGCTGTGATGACCAAGCTCTTGGCTTGGTAGCTCCCGGCCATACTTTTCACCGTGACTGGGAACCCCGGTTTTATCTCCATCACCTTCTCTCCATCACACACTAGGCCTCCCAGATGTCGAATTGCATCCTAAAAAGGGCGGCAGCAGGGAAGGGCAAGTTAGTTACATAGTTATGTGGTTCACCCTGGTGAACAAAGTCCTTCACTTAGGGCGGAAGAGAGGGCTCCGACTCCAGACCCCCTGTCCCATAAAGACCGGGCCTAGCAGGGTATATAAGACCGCCCTGCGGGGCGCCTGGGTGGCGCAGTCGGTTAAGCGTCCGACTTCAGCCAGGTCACGATCTCGCGGTCCGTGAGTTCGAGCCCCACGTCAGGCTCTGGGCTGATGGCTCAGAGCCTGGAGCCTGTTTCCGATTCTGTGTCTCCCTCTCTCTCTGCCCCGCCCCCGTTCATGCTCTGTCTCTCTCTGTCCCAAAAATAAATAAACGTTGAAAAAAAAAAAAATTAAAAAAAAAAAAAAAAAAAAAAAAAAAAAAAAAAAAAAGACCGCCCTGCCCAAAAGGTCGAGAATGAAGCCAGCAGGGCAAAGGCCCTCATCCGGCCAAGGTGATTGGGAGACGGCAGATTGGAACCACCGCAGGGGCTGCGTTGCCCCAAAAGCCGCACACACTACCTGCAGGGCTCTGAGGGCCTTGTCTGCATAGAGAACTCCTCCGGACTTGTCCAAGACCCCCACTTCTCCCCTAGCCAACAGAACATTGGGGAAACGTTGTTTCAGCTCCTCAGCTGAAAGGCACTGGTGCTCCACGCCCTGTCTAGACAAAGTAGCCTGGATCGTTTTTAATTCTGAATTCTCCTTCATTCCCAGCAGCAGTAGCCCCGTCTGCCTGTAAAAAGAAAGAAAGAAAGAAAGAAAGAAAGAAAGAAAGAGAGAGAGAGAGAGAGAAAGAAAGAAAGAAAGAAAGAAAGAAAGAAAGAAAGAAAGAAAGAAAGAAAGAAAGAAAGAAAGAAAAGGAAAAAAAAAAAGGCACATGGGTGAGGGTATGAGTCAGGGTCCTGGGCCCTTCTGTCTCATTCTTCAGCAAGGGTCCCATCAAGGAGGTCTCAGCCTCCTGTTCAAAGAACTGGTAAAGTCAGGGGCGCCTGGCTGGCTCAGTCAGCAGAGCACACAACTCTTGATGTCCGGAACGTAGGTTCAAGCCCCACACTGGGCGTGGAGCTTACTTAAAAAGATTTAAAAAATTAACAATAAAAAGAACGGGTAAAGTCATCTCAATGCTGTTGTTAGGGTCGAGGTCAGTATTCTTGAGCGGGCTGCCAGCCCATTCCTAAGTCTACCCTGGGCTCTCGCTGTTGGTTTGCTTGTCCTTCCATAGGGCAGACATCTGAAATCCTCACCTGGAAAGGTGTTTCTTCCTCTTCCTCCCTCCTTTGATCCATTCACTATTGTGATCTGTATTCTTTTTAAGTTTATTTATTTGTTTTGAGAGAGAGATTGAGAGTGTGAGTGGGGGGAGGGGCAGAGAGCCAGGGAGAGAGAATCCCAAGCAGGCTTAGTGCTGTCAGCGCAGAGCCCAGCTCGGGGGTCAAACTCACACACCGTGAGGTCATGACCTGAGCTGAAATCAAGAGTCAGATGCTTAACCCCACTGAGCCACCCACGTGCCCCTGATCTCTAGTCTCTTTGCCCCCACGCCACCCCCTGCTGTTTCTTTTCCTTTGTCCCTTTTCTTGTCATATGACGTATTGTCCCCTGCTGCGCTGGCCTGTGCTTGGTTCCTCCTTGGGGGCTGCCTGTCTTGTGGAAAGGATCCTAAATCGGGACACCTGGCTCTGGGTCTCGTCCTGGGACATCCCCGGGACCTTGCTCTTGTTACACACTCTTCCAGGCCCCACGTTCCTCTGGAACACGTGCCTGTTGGACCATCGGTGGTGCCACCCCAGGGTGGTACCGCCCGACCCTAGGGCATGTGAATGGCGTGGGCCATTTATTTAGTCATCACAGTGCCTAGGCGTTGCCACTCACATTTAGTGGGCAGGGGCCGGGGACGCTAAACCTGCAATGCTCAGGAAGATCCTACCCCAGTGCCAATAGCACCCTCCTGCAGAAACACCAGTAGATGGTCTCTTAGGGTTCCAGCAATTAATTCAGTGACTTTATGGTTTTGTCTCTCCCTATACGTCCTTTTATGCTTCTTACTCTCTGGGGGAGTGAAATCTGTTTCTCCTGAATACTTTCCTGTCTCTCTGTCACAAGAGACCAGAGCTCCCTTTTGGTGGAAACTGATCTAAACCATAGAAGGGTCACTTTGGACCTCGGGACTGTTGCTGTGGTCCCTTCTCGCTTTCAGCAGCCGCAGTGACCAGCATCAGCCTGGTACATCCCCCAGGTACTGTGTATAAAGCTCGTAATAGCCTATAATGGAGTCTCATGGATATTACATGCTTCCAAATCCCACATTATCTGGTTGGGGGGATTAAAGAGAAGATTGGGAGGGGGTAGGGACACAGCAGGCCCCAGGGCCGGTGTCAGTACACAGAGCCGCGCAGCGTGGCCAATCCATTGGCCACGGCCCCCGCCTACCCGGCATCCACCACTGGTGAGAAAGCAGTGAGAGCCTCTGCCTCTTCAAAGCTTAGCAGAGGAAAGATGCTGTCGAATCCCCACTCGTCAGCCGGGTCCTTTCCCCGTGGCCCCCAAAAGGACTTCAGATGGGTTCTCAGGGAATGCAAACTTGCCTGGTAGACTTCTCAGTGGAGAGGATAATTCAGAAGTCATGCAAGGATATGTTCTTGAGCCCTTTCTACCCTCTGGGGCTGTGGCTGGGGAGAATTCTGGGAAAGACCTGGCTGAACCCTCACCTCTGCGGTTACAATGTCAGATCCCTGGCTCAGAAATTTCAGAGCAACGTATTCCAACCCCTGCCTGCAACAGAGCAACCTCCGTCTCTCAGTCTCTCCCCGTCTCTCAGTCTCTCCCCGTAGACCGGGAGACTCAGTCACTTTCTTTCCTCCCTTCCTCTCTCCCACCCTCCCTCCCTTTCTTCCCTCTTTCTTCCCTTGAAGTAAGAAGCCCTCTTACAGGAATGTACTGTATGGGGAAAACAAACTCATGCCAAGACAACGGGCAAATCAGTCGAATTATGAAACGCTGAGTGATGTTCTAATTCCCAAGCCATCCTGCGGTGGATGAAGCGGGCGCTCCCGTCCCTAGGAGTAATCAGTGAGCTGATTCCGCCGGTGAGTGTAATTGTGCCAATTGTAATCATTTTGCTCCAGCTCTCTGCCCCTGTGGCATTTATTTCTTAGCCCAGATATTGATCTAACAGTGGGAAATTTTCCATCTGAATTTGTGATGCTGGACCCTCCCCTGGTCCGAAGATGCGTTTGGGAAATTCTCATTTTCCGTGGATCACAGCTGAGCTATTTGGCCTGAGGGAAACCGCGCACGGCTGGAGAAATGCCTCCGATTGGAGAGAGATTTTTGACCATTATGAGCAAATCGGAAATAAATGTAAAACACTGCCTGGAAATGCAAAGGCCTGTCATTATGGGAGATAGGTGAGAGGCTCCTGTGGGAAATGCTTAGAGAATTGGAAATCAGTCAGTCAAAACCGGGATCAGAGAATGGGCCTTTTCCCCCCAGTATGAAGATAGATGACTTCCATGGGCGGATTGAAAATCATTTAAATGCTTATTTTCTTAATGGCTTTTCCTAGATCCCAATAAACAGACCGGCTAGTTCTGCATCAATTTCTCACCCCTGTGCTCTGGGTCTCCCTGTGCTCTTTCTGCTCAGATCTAGGCTACAAAGTTAGGGGAGGGGAGGCATGAGAGGAGACAAGGCCGTCGCAAGGAAAAAAAAAAAATTTGTCCAGGAAATGCCTGGTCAGGGCTGGCCTAGAAAGAGAGCACCTTGCAGCGAGGCTGGGTTGTCAGGGAACCCTGGAAGGACTGCAGCTCCCAGCTCCCAGTACGCGGTCAGCTGAGTGCAGAGCGTGTGGTGTGAACGGGCGTCTTCCTCCAACCCCAGCCGGATCCAGCACTAGGAAGAGGTAATCGAAGAATCCTCCCAAGGGCCTTGTTGACTCCTCTGGCCGACTAAAGCCTCGGACACGATGTAAGGAGCTGGTGATAGGGGATTTCCATCCATTTCTATAGGAGGCCAGGGCGCCGGATGGAGCCAGCAGGAATCGGGAGGGGCAGGCAGCTCACCCGCGTCAGCCACCTCCCATCCCAGGCTCCCGTTTTTTCCTCTCGGGGGTTTAAAGTGCACGGCAAGCCAGCTCCCAGAGTCACCTTGGGTAGGGGACTCGGTAATGGCTGCTGTCTTTGTTGGTTTTGGAGGAGCTCTTGGCGTTTCATCTTCCGCTCAGTGGGCCGAGGTGGAACTGGTTAACAAAGACTCTGCTCCAGGGAGGGGATGTGGCTGACAAGCCAGGCACTTCACAGACACAGGAAGCAGCAGCTGCGGAGGGGGCCACCAGGTTCTGCCAGCAGCTGTACTGCCTACGGCTGTGATCTTGTCTGATATTGTCAGCTAAGCAGGGGCAGCCTGGGTCAGGAGCTAGATATTAGGACTCAAAGGGAGAAGGCGGGGCAAGCAAGAGCTGGGCCCCAGAGCTGGGATTTGCTGGTGGTATCAGCGTCCTGGCTGTACCCGTCACAAAAGACTCGGACCTTGTGATCCGGCACCTGTGTCATTGTCTGTACCCAGAATATATGCAAATATCCTGAGCCCACCCGTGTTTAGTATGCCACTGTCACAGGAAGAGGCAGAACAGAATGAAAAGAATCGGACAACCACCTTCACCGGCAACTCCTGAAGATGTTTGGTGGTTTGTTTGTTTGCTTTTTTCATCATTGTGCGGTGGCCTTAAGTAAATACATCTGTATCTGTCGGTTAGATCATGATGTTGTGCTGGTTCTCCGGGAAGAACCTCGGAGAATAAGAACCCCAGAGATGATGCGTCATTGTAGAAAACCAGAATTAAGAATAAAAGCGAAAAGAATTGGAACGGGAAGTATCTGTGCTGTGTTCCTAAAGAAAAGAACCAAAGAAATTAGCCTGCCCGAGTCAATCAGATTAGCCACAAGAAAGGACGTGATAATGATTCAAATAATAATAGCAACATACCTAGCACTCTGTAGAACTCGGAAGGTTTTCCAAAGCACATTCATTGTACTCTTTCTTTTTCATAACTGGGGACTCTAGGCATCAGAGTGGTCTTTTAAGAGGGGCTATCATACGTCCCTGTCTTTTTTTTTTTATGTTTTTATTTATTTTTGAGAGAGAGCGCATGCACACGCACATGCGTGCAAGTGGGGGAGGGGCAGACAGCAAGGGAGACAGAGGATCTGAAGCAGGCTCTGCCCTGACAGCAGTGAGCCCGACGTGGGGCTCGAACTCGTGAACCATGAGATCATGACCTGAGCCGAAGTCGGAAGCTCAACCAACTGAGCCACCCAGGTGCCCCAATATGTACCTGTCTTTAATTTTTTTAATGTTTATTTATTTTTGAGAGAGAGAGAGAAAAAGGGGGCGGGTAGGGACAGAGAGAGAGGGAGACACAGAATCCAAAGTAGGCTCCA